ACCCATTGTCGTACTAATTCTGCCGATCACGGAGGTAACTTATTGTACGCAACTTATTCCACCAGTATCTTCTGCTGAACCGTTCTCGCGGTGCTGGCACGGCCATTAAGCATCAAGCATTGGGCGTGCTGACTTGTTTACCGGGCACGCTCAGACTCCTCGCATTCTCTCTGCCTCGCCTTTGGTTGGTGATTTGAATCGGAAATTGATTTGATTTGCCTCAATCGTCGCCAAGCGGCAGTGACAGCAGGGGCCGAGGCTGCACACTTATTGACTTGCATTGAAGTATATGATGTATCTATGTATGATGTATCGATTATCCGCACTGCCCGTTTGTCATCATCTTTTGTTTCTGTGTGTTTCAGGTTGGATGAGGAGAAGTTCGAGCTGATAAACGTGAGTATTACTTTCACTTCCACAATTTAAAACAAACAATCACAGCACATTAAAAAGTGTCCAGTGAAAAAGGAAGTGTGCGCCGGGCCGATCTTCTTCTTCCTCTTTGCTTTGTGATTCTCCTATCCATTTGGTTTTTGAACAGCTGCTGCTGCAGCAGCAGCAGCCACTCACTTTGAAACAATGATGCCCGCTTCTCTCCAGCCCTGATGTTTACTCGTCCCCCTTTTCCCGCGCTGTGATTCAATTGCGCTCTGCTTCCCTTCTGTTCCCGCCGCGCCGCGCCCGATTTATTTATTTATTTAAACCAACGCGGGCAAGCGGTGGCGGCGGTATGACCGAGCGTTTTTTCTTTCTTCTTGTGCAGAACACGGTGCTGCCGGAAGCTGTCCGCTTTTGGGAGAGCGCGCTGATGGTGCGGAGGGCTGTCTCGACCATCCGCCTCAACAGGTACCCTCCGTCCAATTTATTTTTAAATTTTGGTTACACATGAAACGCAGAGTAGTGTGTCACGTGAATGTCGCACACTTCCAGGTGTGTGAAATGTCCATTTCGTACACTTAAGGGAGTGAAGGTGTTAATTTTCCTTTCACATTCCTTTCATTTTGTACCTCCATGTGAATATTGGCATTCACACACCTCCAAGTGTGCGACATTCACTCAGTTTTTCTCTTCTTTAGGGTTGGAATCCCTGGAAAGTTTCCGGAAAATTTCAGGAAACAAATTTCTGGAAAAGACGGAAAATTTCTGGGGGAAAATGAAAAATTTCCCAGATTTTGGAAAGTTTTTCGTTGTTTTCGGAAAACTTTTCAGATATTTTCCGGAAAATTTGGGAAATTCCCAACCCTATTTTCTTTATTGAAACGATTTGTGAATCTGCAGGAAGTGCGAGAACAACCAGCTGTTCTACCGACGTGACGAGGTGTACTGCAAGAACGCGTGCAGCGAGAAGACGACGTGCGGCGAGGTGGAGGTGCCCGACGAGCACCTGGAGGTGTGCCGGACGTGCAACGACACGGGCCAGGACTGCGGCGCGCAGCCGGGCTCGGTGCGCGGCCAGGGCATCGACGGCGCCGACTTCATCTTCTACGTGTCGGCCACGCAGACGGAGCGCTGCAACAAGGTAAGGGACTTTCCGGAAAGTTTCAAGTTTTCCAG